GTCCTCAGATTATCCACAGCTACAGGGAAGACGGATAAGGTTGAGGGGAGCCCACAGAGAATGACATAGCCAATAAGCATTTATGGGACAGGGAAGCCTTCCAGATGGGGAAACACTGGAGATGAGGTGTGAAGTGTGTAAGTTGGAATTAATCAGGTGGAAGATTGAGGTGGAGGGATGAGTATTCTGGAAAGAAAATGAGCTTGCAAAAAGATGGAGGAGAGGGGAGGGGATGGGAGGGGAGGGGAGGAGAAGAAAGGGAAGGGGAGGGGAGAGGAGAGGGAGAGAAGATGGATGGATGGATGGATGGATGGATGGATGGATGGATGGATGGACAGATGGATGGCAGACTAGTATTAATAAACTGCACATAGTTCATTCTGACTTGTGGAGATTTGATGAGAAATATGACTGAAGAAGTGACCGACAGTCAACTGGTAAAAAAAAAAAATCTTAAATGTTCTGCTGAAAAACTCAGGAGTTGATCTGAAGCTGTAAGATTTGCTTCTGGGAATGATCACATCAACTGTGCTGCAGTAGTAGAGAGAACAGGTCAGAACTCAAGGCAGAGATTCCAGTGGGGAGGCTGTGGTAGTTCTCAGAGGAAGGGTAGTTGTCAGGGTGAAGTGGGGAGGCTGTGGTAGTTCTCAGAGGAAGGGTAGTTGTCAGGGTGAAGGGATGGGGAGGTTTGGGGAGCGGGGAGCAGAATGGTTATCGCTTGGACGTGGGAGGTGAAGGTGAAGAGCGAATGTAAGATGGCTCCCAAGTTTCCAGCTTGGATGAGTGGGAGGTTGGTAAAACCATTCTCAGAGACGTAGCACACAGGAGGAAGAATGGGCTTATGGAGAAGACCGTGAATTCAGCTTGGGAGATGTTGAACTTGAAGTATCTGGGAGATGTCCAAGTGGAGGTGTTCAGTGGGCAGCTGGAGAGAGGTGGGGCATGGGTAGATACTAGGGAGTCCACCGAAGAAGGGGAGGTAGGTGTGACAGGGGACATGAATGAACTTGCTTAGAGAGAATGATGAGAGTAAAGAGACAAGGACAGAGCCCTGTGGATACCAGCATTTAGTGAGACAGAAAAACAGGGTGCTGATATGAAGTCTGAGCAGGAATAGGAAGATTAGTTCAGGGAGGTAGAGAAGTTATTCCTATTTCAGAAGTGAGGAATTTAACACTTAAAGAGAGGAAGGCTCAGAGTCATACATTTCATCGGCAGTCGAGCCAGGATTTGAATACAGGACTCTCTGACACTAGATGCCAAGGCACTGCTTCTTTTCTGCCGTGTTCAGCAGCACAGCCCTTGATAGATGTTCAGTGCTTGATGGACGGACAGATGGATGGATGGATGGATGGATGGATGGATGGATGGATGGATGGATGGATGGGTGGATGGGTAAGTGACTGCCATTAGCAGTAAGAAATGCCAGAAGACTTCAGCCAACAGGCAAAAAAATCCTGGAGTGTGCCTGGGAGCATGTCCACAGAACGGAAACAGCTCGGAACTTTTTATAGCATCGCAGACGTGGTGATGACAAAGGCTGTCTTCTTCCAACTGCTCTGTTAACGATCCTTTAAAGTCCTTTCAGAGCAAGTTCTACACTCCTCGCCACCCCCTCCCCATTCTTGCTTGCAAAAGAAGGATGATTTTAGAATCCAAGCCTTTTTTATTTTGCTAAAGTACACGAGGAATAAAATGGCCTCCCAGTCAGCACTTTCCAATTTTAAAGATGCTAAAAACTGATCCTTAAAGTCATGTTTCTTTCTTTCTTTTTTTTTATGTTTCAAATGGCCTTGAAGCCCACTGGAGGGGATGAGACACGCAGGAGGTGAAGAGTACGCCCTCCCAAAGGCCTGGCCTTGCTGTGGAGGGCAGGGAGGGCAGCCTGGCTCTGTGGGGAGCCTGGGAGCCCTGAGCACATCCTCCATTGGCCAGACTAGGCTGGAGCCAAGCCCAGCCTGGATCCCCGACCACACTCGGAAGGCAAGCTGAACCCAGCCCAGGAGAGAGCCCCAGACAGCCACTCAGTACCTGCTGGTTGGATTAATTAATGAGAGGACAGGAGCTGTGGTACCATGTTGTCATTGTTGCTAGGTTCCTTCAGGCATATACAATTAATAGCAACTCTGTGACCAGCAGGTCTGAACCCTGTCCTGTCCTTTGCCATCCTTTGTAGTCACTGTGTCAGTTCATCTAAGGGCATTCCCTCTTTGGCTGACCCTCCTCCTTTCCAAGCAGGTGATTCCTTTTCAAGGAGTAGCTTCTCCTCGAAACATGTCCAAAGGAGGTGAGACAGAGTTTCACCATCCTCGTCTCCAAGGTGCACTCTGCATGCACTTCTCCCAGCACATGTTTGTTTGTTCTTTTGACTGTGCATGTGATACTCAGGTCTCTTCTCCAGCAGCACAACTCAAAGGCATCGATTTTTCTTTCATCCTTATTTGTTATCCAGTTCTCCAAAGCATAGCAGATGATTAGAAAGACTGTGGCTTGAATTAGGATCACCTTAGTCTTTAAACTGACACCATTGCTCTTTAGAACTTGAGGCGGTCTCTGACAGCCAACTTTCCCATTGCTCTTCCTCTCCTGACTGCTTGTACCAAGGGTGTTGATTATGAATCCAAGTAAGGTGAGATTTTTTTTATCATTTCAATCTTAACTCCACCTATCATGATGTTGCCTATTGACTTGGTCATAAGGAGTTTTGTTTTCTTGATGTTGAGATGTAATCCATGTTGAAGGCCGTAGTCCTGGTTCTTCTGCAGCAGACCCCTCGAGTCCTCCGCACTTTCAGCATACAAGGTTGTGTCATCTGCATAATACAGGTTGTTGATGAGTCTTCCTCCAATTTTGATGTCACCTTCTTCTTCATAGAGTCCAGCTTCTCTAAGCATTTGCCTACCATACCGTTTGAATATGTATGGGAAAAGGATACAGCCCTGATGCACACTTTTTTTTTTTAGACCATTAATGTTTCTTTGTTCTGTTCACTCAACAGCTTCTTGGTATAGATTTTCTATAGGCATAATTAAGTATCCTGAAATACCCATTCTTCTAAATGTTAACCACAGTTTGTTATGATCCACATAGTCAAATGTTTTTTCATAGTCAATAAAGCACAAATAGTCATTCTTCTGGTATTGTCTACTTTTAGCCAGGATCCATGTGACATCAGCAATGATATCCCTGGTGCCGTGGCCTCTTCTAAACTCAGCTTTAACTTCTGGCAGTTCTCTGTGTATGTACTGTTCCAGCTGGTTTTGAATGAGCAAATTTGATATGGTAAAAAGATACAACTCAGATGCACATCACAAAGATTCACCAACAGGTAACACAACCTTGCTTGCTGAGAGCACAGAGAATTTGTGGCACCGACTGAAGATGATCAAAGACTACTGTCTACAGTATGAATTATGCTCTAAAATCAAGAAAACAAAACCCTCGCAGTGCACCAGAAGACACCATCATAATAAATGGGAAAAAGATAGGTGTTATCAAGGGTTTTCTTTTACTTGGACCCACCATCACCATCCTTGGAAAAATTAGTATCCACCATCAGCATTTCTTTTTAAAAAAAAATTTGTTCATTCATACACACTTTCCTGCCTCCCCCTCTCCTCTCTCCATTTCCCCTTGTAAAACTATTAATTGTCATACACGTGATTTCTAATCATCCATTCCTTTCAGAATGTCCTTCCATTCACTCTTTTGAGGAAAAGAACAAATAAATATGTCTTGGAGAGGGTGCAGCCAGAGTGCTCTTTGGAGGCGAGGATAATGAAGCTTCGCCACACGTACTTCGGGCATGTTGGTAGGAGGGGCTGTTCTTTGGAGAGGAACAGGATGCAGGGCTGGTGAAGGAGAGGGAGACCCTCAACCAGATGAATTGTCATGGTGACTGCTGCAGTGGGCTCCAGTGTGTCAGGAAGTGTAAAGATGGTATAGGATAGGATAGGTTTCAGATCCACTGTTCATAGGGTCACTATGAGTTGGACTTGACTCGACGGCACCTAACAACAACAATTCATTATCTATTCTTTTACTGGAAGACTATCCGCATTTTTTATTTTTTTTTAACTCCACTAAGTCAAGAATCAAACAGTGTATTACATTGGGCAAATCTCCTGTCAAAGAGTTCTTGAGAATGCTAAAGAGAAAGGATATCACTTTAAGAACTAAGATGTGCCTGCCCCATACCTCGGTATTTTCATTTGCTTAATATGCATGTGAAAGTTGGACAATAAATAGAGAAGAGTTAAGAATAATTGATAATCATTCATTTGTGGCATTGACAAAAAAATACTGAATACATCATAGACTGCCAAAAGAGCAGATAAATCTATTTTGGGGAAAGTGTATCCTGACTGCTCCTTAGAGGCAAGGAGAGCGAGACTTCATCTCACACTTGGGACATGTTATCAGGAAGGACAAGTTGATGGTCAGCCAAGGAGAGGAAGACTCTCAAATAGGTGAATTGACACAGTTGACTGAGACAGTGGGCAGTAGAGATTGTGAGATGGTACAAATTCAAGTAAGGTTTCAGTCTGTTGTCCACAGAGTTATTATGAACCAGGGTCAATTCACCGGCACCTGACAACAACAGGAAACCCTGGATGTGCCTTTCTCTCCCCCCAGCTCTCAGTTTCCCTGTGTGTGGAATGAGGAAGAGCACGAAGTGCTGTCTCAGCCTCCTGCAGCTTTGTACCTGCTCCAGGAGCACAGCTGTTCACACGCCCCTTCAAGCCGTCACGTTTAACTTCTAACCTCTGTGGACCAGCCCCCTATTTCCCTGGAACAGCTGTGCCCAGAGAGATGCAGAGAAACCAGAACTGGGCTGCACCAGGCTGGATTGGACGTGGGCAGTGCTGTGCCTGCCCCCTCGCCCTGTGCAATGGGCAGAACTCTTGTCTGCGGAGCCTGGGACACAGGAACAGTCATGACCTTGAACTCTCTTGGTACTTACTGTTAACTGACCTTCACACGTCTCCTTTTGTCCACAGGGGAATGATGTACGGATCATCCTTGGCCAGTTTGACCAGGCTATGGCAGCAAAAGTGTTCTGTTGTGTAAGTAAAACTGTCATGTTGTCTAGTCTTCGGGGAGGGTCATGAACCTTTTACTTGGTGTCACTGCTTGAGCAGTGGGAGGGATCATAGTGGCTGAGCATCTAAATGCTTGGAAGCAGAAGTGTCATATACACTGCTCTGCCCTCCATTTGCCACCTAAGCCCTGTCGGTTAATTCTGAGTCCCTCCTACTCATTCATGATAGTTAATTAAGCCTACACTGTCTGGTATAAGGACACAGAGAGAGAGCAGGAAGAGAAGAGGTGACTCAGATTCCTCGCTGCTCTTTCAGAGCCTTAGATTTGACTATCAAGTGTCCACTCCCCAACCCGGAGTCCTTTACAATGTGGTGTTGTGTGGCTGATGACAAAGTTCTTGCATCCTGTCTCATTTAACTTTTCAGTGACCATGTGAAGCAACTGACATTACCCCATTTTACAGATAAGGAAATAGAGGCCCAGGGAGGTCAAGGCTTGCCCTCAGCCAGTTGGGGCAGAGCGAGGTTCAATCTTTTGTTTACTTGACTCTTAACCTAATATGTATTCCGTATGATGTCCTGACTTGGTTATATGTAAGGATTTTAGCATAGCAACAAAGCCTGTTTCCATTTTGATGTCTCTGTCCCATTCTTTTGTCCCAAGTCAGGAGAATGAGAGCTCAGTTAGTGGAGTCATTGGCTACCCAAGGAAGGTGTCTGCTCCAGGAGGCCTCCTTGTGGACCATGCTTATTCTAGGTATAGTGTCTAGTGACAGGGCACAGGCCTGTTTCTTTGACCTTTAAATCGGTAAATTGAGTATGGTTATAGACCACAGGAGTTCCAGAAACTGTGAAATACACTGGATGACAGAACCTAGTGCAGAGAACCTTAACAGGATAGATTGTTTAGCTCAGTCCAAGAAAATGAAGTCTAATGGTCCTAACGTAACGTGGTACTAGAACAAATCAAGCTTTGGTACTCCAGGGTAGCTTAGCTGAGAAGTGCTGTATGTTTAGAACAGATAGAGGCTTTGGGATCTCAGCTGATCGCAGAGCTACTATGAGTCACCTGTCTGAGGTGGCCTCAGCCTGCAGGTTCACCCCAGAGAGGAGTGGAGAGACTATGTGGGGTGCCCTGCTCAGCTCCTGGTGCCTCCTTCAATAGAGATGTCACATGAGCACGCAGGGCCGGAGAAGTACCCAGGAGCAAGGACGGGCAGTGGCTGGAAGCCACAAAACACGGATCACCCTCAGGAGCACGGTGAGAACTGCTGCTGGTCAACTCCAGAGACTTGCACTCAGGAGACCATAGATGGAATTCTAGAGCGCAGGAGCCAGTCTCCAGGGGCTTGAGTCCCTGATCTGCTCTTAGTAACAGACCAACCGTGGCCTGTTATGTGCTCTCCCTAAACCTCCTTTTTCTCATCTGCAAAGTAGGGGCAGTGACAGCACCTGCCTTGTCCTTGGAAGATTAAGTGAATGCAAACAAACAAATGGCAGAAGTCTTTTCTCTGCTAATGTAAGGAGGTTCTCGGTTACTGGAGGACCAAGCGAGCCACCGTCGGGCTGGCCAGTTTACTCACTTTGGGATTTCACAAGGTTCGATTCAGCTTTGCAAGTGTCAGCTTAGGGGAACAAGAGGCCTTTCTTTCCTTGTAGAACTAACTCTGAGGAAGAGCATGAGAAAAATTGAAAATGTGGATGAATAAATTTCGCATATGGCTGCTTCAAACCCCAGAAAGCTTTGTACTTTACTTTCTAGGGACTAGGAATATAAAAAAATTAAAGTCAGAATCTCAAACTCATTGCCATTGGATCAGTTCCAACTCCTAAGGACCCTCCGTTGAAGATCAAAATGGGAGGAACTTCCCATCCTTCTCGCCGGGAGCAGCTGGTCCATTCAAGCCTGAGATGTGCAGCTTTTGAGTTAACAAGTACAACTCAATGCAGACTTTGCTATCAAAGCTCTTCTTCTATTTTTTTTTTTTAAAAAAGGCCTTTTAGGGAAGAAATGGGGATGTGCCCCTCCATTTCTGCAGGGCCTTGCAAGGAGCTAGCTTATGGTGTCTGATGGATGTTGATCAAATGAGGAAAATGAAATGAAATGTGTGAAATGCTCTTTGAGCTGCTACCCCAGCCACCTTTTGGCAGGAAGTGCAGGTAAATGTCACGCTTTAATCCAGAGTCAGAGCAGGACCGAAGTGTCACTGAGCCGCGGGTGCGCTGGGACCGTCTCCAGGGGCTTCTGACACCATGGTTTCTACTTCAGAGCAGCCAGCAGTGATGCTTCCTTCTGTCCCCAGAGCCCTGGGCTGCCACCTTCACGCAGCCTGGGCACACCATCCACCTGCCCAGCCTACTTTTTTCTTAGCCTTTGTTATATTCTTGGTGCCTTGAGATGAATCTCAGCAATGAGGCTTCATCATTGAGGAGGTTTTCTGAGCAGGCATTTGGTCTTTGTGTCAGACCCTTGGATGGAGCCCTTGTCTTGAGGTTTACAATCTTGCTTGTCAGAAAGGAGTTTGTCCAGCACAGTGGAGGTGGCCACCCAGTGTCTCTGCTGTGGGCCTGTGACAGAGGAGGGGCAGCGCAGGACAGAGACCTTCCGAGAGGGCCTTCCTGTCTGGGTCCAGGTTAGGAGCACACAGGGCGGTTGGGAGCAACCCAAGTTGTGCCTCAGTGCAAAGTGGGCAGTGTGTGGCTGCATTCTCAAGCTGGGGACGGCCACCCAGTGGGAGCCCAGGCTCCAGCGAATGCAAGGCCTATTTATAGCCCTGTGACCACATGTTCGCTTGGCTCTCGCTCAGCGGGAGCGTGGCATGGCACTTCTGCTTCCCTCCACCTCCATCCTCGGTGGTCTGTTCTGAATCCTCCAACACTCGACACTGAGTTCTAGTTTTAGCTTCCCCAGCTGTGTGTCCTCAGGCAGGTCACTTTAGGTCTCTGATCCCAGATGCTTCACTTGTGAAATAGAAGTCCTGATTCCTGCCCCACCTGCTTCACAGAGGTTTAAATAAGGCCACCAAGTGAGAGCATCATCTCTGAAGTGCTTGTCCTGATGTGAGGATTTATGATGAGTATTGCTGAGAACCTTAATATCAGAATGGCACATTCTTTTTTTTTTTTTTTGCAAGTGTAGGGAAAGTGGCAAACGGAAGCTAAATAAAAACAAGAAATTCCATTTTGGAAGACTTTTATCATGGCTCCTCAGCAGCAGCTGGTAAGAATGATGGCAGTTTGTGGGGCTGGGAAACGTGAGCCCAGGTCCTGCCATCATCATATGTCAGGGTCCCACTGGTCCTGAGACTCCATTCCAACCAGGGACAGAGGACGTGAAAGCTGAGGTGACCAAGTGCACCCAGTCACTCCACCACCCTGTAGCGGGTGCCCTCTGTAGACCAGGTGACGTGCCAGACCTTAGGAGGTCCTGGGAAGGGTCAAACGAGCTGTCTAAAGTATTCAGGGAGTTTTAGATGAGCCTGAACGGAAAGGGCAAATGGGAAGAATGTCCCTCCAATTCGGAGATGGGACAGTAACTTTTCTTTAGCACATACATCTACTGTGGAGTCTGGCTACCCTTTGTGAGCAGATACAGGCTTAGCATTGTGGCACCTAAGTGGGTGCACTCAGAACCTTCCCAGAATACACAGCGACCCCTCACGCTCTCCCTGCCTCTCACACTGTTCTAGGCCAAGAAACACGCATGAGTGTGGCGGTAATTATTTCCAAGCACGTCCTTCTAATGTAGGTGGCTCCCCAAGAGCTAATGGAAGGACTGTGTAAGGTCCACATTTTAAAACGTGGGCTGTTCACAAAGCACAGAGCATTCACATTCACTACTGCTCGCCGTGGTCACTCGTTGGCATTTTGATTATTGTTGTGAATATGACCTCTATTTAGAAACTCCATCTCGGACCCATTTTTGATGGAACATGACATTTCTACAAAGTAGGATTTTTCTGGGTGCATCTAAGCTCTGAGAAAGTGGTATTGGCTTGAGTCCCCCCACCCCCAGCTTAAATAATTGTAGTGAAAAATTAAGGCCAAATAGAGGTGCATTAGAACATTCTGATGATTTGTTTAAACAGGAAAGACACAGTGTGCCTTGAGTAGGCAAACTCAAGTTCGAGTTCATGGCTTTTCTCTCTGGTTGTGTGACCTCGAAGTAGTTACTTTCCTGCTCTGATTTAGTTTTCCTCTCTAGAATAACAATATTAAGCCCTGTCCTGACTACCTCATAGAGTGAATTCAAGTAATGCTCAAATAAGAGGTCTGTGAAATGTACAAATATGAGGAAAGATGGAATTTTTTCAGATCATGTATTTCTTTATTTTAGGATCATGTATTTATGAGCTAAAGAGCAATGATGTTAGCCTAGAGACTAAGGTGCACCTGTTCAGGCCATGGTCTTTGCAATTACTTGCTATGCATCAGAGAGCTGGACAATGACTAAGGATGACAGAAGACTTGATGCCTTTGAGTTGTGGTGCTGGAAAAGAATCTTGAGCATACCATGGACCACCAGGAGAAGAAATAGATCTGCCTTGGGGAGGGTGAAACCAAGGGTCCCTTTGGAAGCAAGGATTTTGAAGGTCCATCTCACATACTTTGGGCACGTGGCCAGGAGGGACCAGTCCTTGGAGGAAATCATGCTTGGAAGGGTAGAGGGACAGCATAGGAGAGGAAGACCCTGAATGAGTTGTATTGACTCAGTAACTGAGACAGTGGGAGTAGGAGTGTCAGAGTCAGTGAGACTTGCTCAGGACAGGGACGAGTTCAGAGCTATTGTACATAGGGTTGCTATGAGTCACAGGCAACTCAATGGCACGTAACAATAATTTACGTGCACTGTGCTGTGGACTGAGGGAGCTCATAGTTTATAAACCTAGTGGGTAAGGAGCCACACTGCCAACCCAAAGACAGGCTGTATGACTCCACCAGCTGTCCTGTGGAAGAAAGGTGGGCAGCCTTCTCTCATGTGATTTACAGCCTCATAACATACTTTGGACATGTTGCAAGGAGAGACAGGTCTTTGGAGAGGGACATCATGCTGGGTAGAGTAGAGGGACAGCGCAGGAGGGGAAGACCCTCTATGAGGTGGATTGATTCAGTGACTGGGGTAATCGGGATGGGTGTGTCAGAGGCAATGCGATTGGCACAGGATAGAGCAGGGTTTAGGGCTGTTGTACATAGGGTCGCTATGAGTCGCAAACGACTCAATGGCACATAACAACAACAACACCCCTTGATGGTCCTCTAGGAGTTGGTTCTGACTCCACAGCACATGCCAAACAACATATTTCTGGCTAGCTGTAGTGGTGTAATCTGTAGGGAGTTGTGTTGTTAATCCCAAAGTGGTACCTCTCTGACAGTTCCAATCCACCAGCATCTCCATGGAAGAAATATGAGCAATCTGTTCCTGATTTACAGCCTCCAAAACCCTGGTGGGGGCTCAGCTGTGAGTGAGTCCTACTTGAAGAAGTGAGTGAGTAAGTGAGTGAGTGAGTGATCTTTGGGTTAGGGATTGGGATATGCTTGGTTTGCCAAGTGGCATCTTCCATAAACTCCATAGATTGAACTCTCTTGGCCCCTTGCAAAACTGCTCTCCAGAGTTGTGTTTTGAAGCTGTGGCCTCAGCATTCATAAGGCTCTGGGCAAGAACCACCTTGTAAAATTTGCCTGTTGCAGGATGCTCTTGATACCCTCCTGGCTTAGATGATAGTGTTCTTCCATATGCCACTCTCTGTGAGGCATTTTCTTTTTAGGGCTAAAAAAACCAACAAAACACTTTGTTTCCCCGGGAGAATCTGGTATGTTTTCTCCCTATAAATAATGGGATCTTATCACACTTTTCTCTAAGGCTGACAGGAAGCTTACAGTGAAATACTCTGCTTATGTGGAGTGTATTATGTATAGAAGTTATGTATAGTGTTGAAACCTTTGGTTTTTGGTCTGTATTCTGTCCCTTTACATCATCTCTAAAGTATATTGTAACTTACGTTGCCCTTGTTGTTGTGTGTGCCGTAGAGACAGAACCAGACAAGAGTTGACCCACCAGCAGGTTCCCAGAGACAGTAAATCACACTGAAGAATGGCCATCCCTCTTTCCTGGAGCAGCTGGTGGTTTTGAACCATGTGCCTTTGGGATTCTAGTGCAGCTTCTTACCACTAGGCCACCAACAAACACTCCTTATTCCTTATATATTAAGTAAACGTTTTCTATTTTACATTGCCCTTAGTCCTTATATTACAAGTGTTAGTTATTTCATTGCCCATGTCATCCATAAAAGCATCTTAGAGCCTTTAAGAAGAGACAAGGCGAGTTATAGAAGAGTTAATAAGTTGCCTGGTAGAGGAAGCCTAACGCAATCCACCTCTCACAGCACACGGTCTTGGACAGGTATTTGACTTACAGTGTCTTCTTGGTCGCCCGTCTGTTGCAGGCGTACGAGGAGAACATGTATGGTAGCAAGTACCAGTGGATCATCCCTGGCTGGTACGAGCCTTCCTGGTGGGATCAGGTGCACACGGAGGCCAACTCGTCCCGCTGCCTTCGTAAGAACATGCTCACTGCCATGGAGGGCTACATTGGCGTGGACTTCGAGCCACTGAGTTCCAAGCAGATCAAGACCATCTCAGGAAAGGTGAGTGTGTTGGTCCACCTATCGCAGCCCCAAGGCCCCCCTCCTTTGATCGTTTTGTCTGATAATCCTGGCAAGTGTGCACATACCTCTCTGAGCTTCTCTCTCTTACCTGGGAAGTGGAAATAGCCAGCCCCCCCCCCCTACTCCATTGCCTTCATCTCTAAAGATCTGTGACAATCTAATGAGTCAGAAGACCAGCACAGGAGAGGAAGACGACCCTGGATGAGGTGGATTGACACAATGACTGTGGCAGTGAGATCAGGTGTGTCAGAGATGTGGGGTTGGCTCAGAATAGACCAGGGTTCAGAGCCAGTGTTCATAGGGTCGCCGTAAGTCATAGTCAACACGATGGTGTGTAATGAGAAGTAGTCAGGAGGCTGTGTGAGCACATGGTGCAGGGTTTGTGTAAGGGGTGGAGTCGGGCCCTCTGCAGCACCAAATACAGGTGTCACCTTCCAGATTCCTCCAGGGTTTATGCCACATTCTTCGAACCTGGAATGTTACTTCCTGGTTTCATTGCTGTCCCTGGCAGTCTGGAGGAAAGGAAAGACCTCTGAAATAAATGCTAGGAAACATGCTGTTGACCAGATTGATCTGAAGCCCAGTTCTGCCACTTACCAGCTGTACAGCCTAGAAGTGAGCTTCCTGAGTCTGTTTCCTCATCTCCACAGTGATGGGCTTCATGACCGTGGGGCAGACCCTCCGTTCATGGCAGAATCATGCAAACCAAAAGAAAACATTGCACGTCCCTGTGCCATCCCCACAGTCGCTTGTGGATTGGACCATTGGTGTTGAGCTACAGGGTTCACACTGGTTGATTTTCAGAAGTAGATTTCCAAGTCTTTCTTCCTAGTCTTCCCGTAAGCCAGTTTAGCATCAGAGTGCAGAGCTTCCACTGGCAGACATGAGGTGCCTTGGACAGGAATTGAAGCTGGATTTCTATATGGAAAGTGGAGATTTACTGCTGAACCACCAGTGTCCTCCCTCGTCTGTGTGTTGGTGAGGTAAAAGTCTCCCCCTCTGGGGCTGCCAGGAAGATTGCACGTGGATTGTATAAGGGGTTACACGTGGCACCTCACCCCTTGGTGCACAGATGAGTAGCTGCTGCTGTAACAGAGATGGATGTTACAGTCTTCACCAGGCTGCCTTCACCCGAATCCTGATACTACATAGGTAGAGAATAGTGTACTTTTAAAAACTTTTTGTCATAATTTGGTGAACATTTAAAGAGCAAATCCATGCCCACTTTGGTTTGTGTCATAGGTTGCAATCCCCACAATGTAACAGCACTAGTCCCACTCCCTCCCTGTGGTCACTCTTTCCACTTCTTTCCTTTCCTACTTGCAGTACCTTCTTCTTAAGCAGATGCTTCTCTTTTGATCTCAGAGTTTCTTATTGGTTGGTTGTTCTAAGGAGAGCGTTCTTCCGTTGTGTTATTGTCCACCTAATAGGCCTATCTACTGTTTGGCTAGAAGTTGAGCCATGGGAGTAAGCTCACCTCCAGGCTTCAAAGGTGACCAAGGGTCATATTCCCGGGTTCCACCAATTTCTATCAGACCAGTAGTTGCACCTTATGTGGTCACTCTAGCTTTTACGTCCGGGTCACTACTCACCACAGTCAGCTCAAACTTCATTCATTCATCACTGTCGAATTAAAACTGACCTAGAGCTGAGCTGACCCTCCAGTGGATTTTCAGAGGCTCTTCTGGTGGCCTGGTGGGTAGAGAGTTGCACTGCCAACCCAAAGACAGGTGGTTTGAATCCACCAGCTGCTCTGAGAGAGGAAGATGGGCAGTCCTCTTCCATGCAGCTTACAGCCTCTGAAAACCTGCTGAAGAATCGGCTGAGTCACTTCTCACTCACTGAGTAAAAACAACAACAACCAAAAAAAAAAAAATCACATGAGAGGAGATAGCCCATCTTTCTTACCACTAGGCTACCAGAGTGTCCTGCATCTACCAGAAGATGTAAAGCCTTGTTTTTGTGAATTCTGTGATGCCGGATGATCCTGATGTCTCCTGAGACTGTGTTCCTAAGCCACCAAGCCCAGTGACTCATTACCTCAAGAGGTTTAGTTACGGCCAAGAAATATTTACAACTTTGCCTCCTGATTGCTCTATGATGGGTATAGATAATTTTATAGCACATACAGATGCATATATAGAAATGTTGTTATTGTGTACCCTGAGTTGGGACCAACATAGCTGACCTATAGTGGGTTTTCAGAGGCGGTTAAATACTTGGGAGGAGATTGCCCATCTTTCTCCCACAGAGCAGCTAGCAGATTCACACCACATGCCTTTGTGTTGAAGGTCACCAGAGCTTGTTGTTGTTAGGTGTCATCAGGTCAGCCATGAGTCCTAATGGTCTGATGAACAATAGATCTGAATCTTGCCGTATCTTGCTCCGATCTCATGATCTCTGTCCTGCTCAAACCCATGTGGTACCCCCCACGTTAATCTGTCTTGTTGAGGGTTTTTCTCATGATCTCTGTCCTACTCAAAACCATGTGGTATGTGGTACCCACCGTGTCAATCCGTCTTGTTGAGGGTCGTTCTCATGATGTCTGTCCTGGGAGAGCCCATGTGGACCCCTGTGTCAATCCATCTTGTTGAGGGTCTTCTCTTTCATTGACCCCTCTCCCTTTGCCGGCATGGTGTCCCTCTCCAGAGATTGGTAAGTAGGAGAGATGAAGTTTCGCCATCCTCGCCTCCCAGGAACACTCTGTTACACTTCCTTCATGACAGATTTGTTTGTTCTTTTGGCCGTCCGTGATAGATGCTCAGTACTCTTCACCAGCAGCACAATTCAAAAGCAAAGATTCTTCTTTGGTCCTCTATAGTCATTGTCCAATTTTTAGATGCACAGGAAGCAATTGAAAATACCATGGCTTGGGTAAAGTGTATTTTCATCTTTAAACTGACATCCTTGTGCTTTAGAACTTTGGAGAAGTCCTCGACAGCAGAGATCCTCAGTGCAACACATCTTATGATTTCTTCACTACTGCTACCATGAGTGTGGATAGGGCTACTGGAAGACAGAGTTGATTCTGTGGTACCTAACAACATTATCTAGATAATTATCTCTTTTCCCTTTCCCTGTTAACCATCAAATATTTCTGCTTTCTTTATGTAACTGAGAATGGTGTGTTTCTGAGATATTCCAGATATACCACAATACCTGGTTCTCAGAACAACCCTAAGAAATTAAGAGGGTAGGTAACTCTTTGGAAGCACCTCTGAGAACTTACAATAACACTGATGAAGATCATAACAGTCATCTCTCAATTTAGCTATTAGTGAACATTTTGTTACAGCAGTACACACACTTCTTTCTTGCCTTCTCAGGAATTTTAAATTCCTTCTCAGGGTTTTTAAATTCTCCACTAGATCCCAGGTTCTAACAGAACCTATTTTGTTTAAAGAATAAGCTTCATGATAAAGTCAATTTATAGATGCATATATATCATATAAATTTGTCTCTACAGTAAAGTAAAAATTATATATGTACATGTATAAAACTTTCATCCATTATTTAATCTCACCCGAGCCACATCCATACAAATTGTTTATTGATTTATCATAAAACAGTAACTCATTAGGACACAGTCTCTAAGCAGTGCCTTAGATCACGCTGGTGTCTGGAAGATCCTGAAAACACGCTGGTTAGAAAGTGTTGAAGGAAATCTATTCATACCAAAACCAATGAATATGTATTTTAAAAATACTGAACTTTTGAATAATGAAGAGAAACATCTAATTTTTTCTATTTGAAGATTATTTTTAAGTTTACTAAATGACAGTAGAGTCTAAGGATGCCCTTATTTTAGTTTAAAAATAATAGAACAGTATGAGGAAAACACAGAAAGCTCAAAGAGATGTTGAGTAATGAGAACAAACAACTGATTTTATTTTGGCAAGTGCTCTTTTCAAAGCTTATTTTTAGTTCCTTGAAGATACTAAGTTTCAGGGTTACCTCGTATTTTGCTCTAAAAATAGCTCATATTTTTAAGCATGAAGTAAAAACAAAAATTGAGGGGGGAATAACCCCAGCAACATGAAAACAGATGGTGTAAGAACTAAACTGATAAACTCATGGAAGACCAAACACTGATTATATATATGGGATCTGAGATACTAAGTGGGGTGAGGTCCACAAGACGCCGTGGCAGGGGCCTCATATACCATTCTGAGGAGCCTGGTTTTGTCCCAGGGGAAGCAGGTAAGGGTATGAAGCTTTGCACAGGAATGTGTTCTAGGAAGATCATTTTTTGGTGGAAAGAATTTAGTATTTATAACAACATTCACTAGTTCATTAACCTTTCTTTTTAATTTGACCTCACTAGGAGGTCTACCTTGCACCATATTGTTAGGCCTGTAAGTGGGATACTTCAGAGCTCTTCCCATGGTGGAGACAGGCCGTTGGTTCAGAGCCAGGATCCCAGCTCACAGCAGCTCCCTACATTGCTGGAGACCTAGTCCCTGGCTCTGTAGTCACTGAGGAGAATTTTGGCTTCTCTTAAATGATCTGCAGTTATAAGATGATTGAAGCTACAGTTGGATATCTGCAGGCTCTTTGCCTCTTGGAGTCAGAAGGTCTTAGAGTCGCCTTAGAAATCATGTTACTCCACCTCCCGTCAAATTCTCAGATCCTTCCTAGAATTGGGAGCTCACTACTTCTTAATTCCTCTACCAGTCCTTCTGGGCCTACACAGGTCCTTTTTTTTTACATATAGCCTGTCATAGATTTGGGAGCAGTGACCATATCCTGGAGCCATCCCTGCCCTGAACTATCCAGTCCTTATGCCACTGGGATAAGGAAGCTCTGATGGTGTAACGCATGGCATGTTGGACTGCTAGGAAAAGGTTAGTGGTCAGTCGGCCAGATTACTCCTAGGTTCCTCTAAAAGTGAGGTTCTTTAACCATGAATATGGTGTTGAGAAATTACAGCAAGTGGCTTAACGTGGTTCAAATGTTCCAGTGTGAAATCCTCTAGAAGA